CAGCTGCTCTGCTTCTCTGTTCACTTGATTGAAATTTTCCAGGTAATCATCCAGTAAATCTACTTCCTTGATATTAGCCATAGTTCAGTCTATAGTTTGTCATCAAGGAATACTTTAGATGGAGTAAGTATAGAACTTCCATTGTACAGATTAGAGAATTCAGACTTAGAATATGTACTTATCGTACATCATCTTGCTATGATGTAAAATAGGAATCAAGGTCTAACTCCAAATGCCATGCATGCTATTAACCATTGTCCCATTCTGCCTATAACCCTTGTACCATGGGGTTTTCTTTTTCTTTTTTGACATAAGGATGGACTTGTGCTGAGTCCTATTTACTTTCTTGCCAAATTAATGCCACATACATTTAGAAAAAGTCATACAGGGAAGAGTATAAAATCTGAAGTAGCTTCTAATTTAAGCTTGATGGTCCACAAATGAATCAAGCATTACACTTCCCCTATGGGGACTCTCACTAATTGGACTAAACAATTTGGCTACATTGCCAAGGATAATATGCTTATGTTGTCTACTGTCAAGTTGATTGTACTTCCTTGAGAAGGAAAACGCCCAGAAAAGAGTAACAACAAACTCAACAATACCTTCCAAACAACAGAACTACACAGACTAGCGGGTGGTCTTCCAGAAGATTAAAGCATTTCAACTCAACTAATTAGCATTAAGTAGTTATAACAGAACTTTGCTTTTTAGATCACGGGGTTAGTTCCCACATCACCATGAAAAGGACACCATAGTAGCTATAGAACTAATTGATCAGGATGGGTAGAGACCTCTACATCTTCTTAGGTCACACTGAAAAGAATCTGAATACAATATCAAGTCCATTTTTCAGATGTCAAGATTTAAAGTTGTTGGCAATTGCTGGAAAATGGGTGAAAAGAAAAAAACATCATGCTCAGTGAAATAGGCCAGCCTCAAAAAATGGAGGGTCTAATGTTTTCTCTCTCACATTGAAGTTAGAGCAAAGGGAAAAACACGTGGGTGAAGGGGATTGGATACCAGAAAGACAGAGGGAAGATGAGTGGAGTAGAAGGAGAGTGAAGGGGAGGGAGGAGGAACAGGAAAGGGAAGAGATGCAAAATGAATTTGACAAAACTATGCTGTGAATGTATGAATATACCCCAGTGAATTCCACCTTTATGTATATATATGAAGCATGAATTAAAAATAGATAAAGAAATAGAAGGAAGACCAATAAAGTAGAGGAAGAAGAATAGGTGAACGGAGGAAGAGAGAGAAAGAGGTGGCACAGGGCACTGAAATGGAGCAAATTACATTTCATACAAATATGACTACGTCAAAACGAACACAACCATCATAAGTAACTACATTGTAATAATAAAAGTGTTAAAAATGTACATAAACACAGAAATAGAAGATATGGAGTTGTTCATCTTAATAGGCAGAAAAAGCACTCTTAGGAGGGAAGAAGCAAAAAGTCATTCAGTTTTACTGGAATAGAAAGATACTCATGCTAATTAATCCTAGTCCAAATACCAGTGTATTTCCTAGTCTTATTCTTTTATCTTTGGCTGACAACTTTGATCTGAGAGTTAGTTGTTCCTTAGATTAATCTTGTTTAAGTCCTTGAGCATTTTTCATCTTGATCTGACCTAAGCCATGCCCACTTCTGAAACCCAGTTTTAACCTATGAACTCCAAAATTTTCAACTCTGCAGGGCACACAGTATTGGGCATTTTCCTAAACTCATCACAATTAGTACTAAGGAAGTCTGAAGCTTCTAGGATAAAAAGCAAACAATGGTAAACAAAGTGACTATGTTGACGTTATGGTAGCTGGGAAAGCATCCCTTCATCCAAAGGATAAAAAGAGGATGCCAAACACTTCCTCTACCATTCACCAGAAATGCCCGTAGTGACTACTGAAGACCTAAAGAAGGAAAAGGTCATTTAGTTTTGTAGAAATAGGAGCCAAGAAACCTTGGATCCCCTTCTCCCTAATATCAACACCCTATGTAGAAGTGGCCACCCCACTTTTTGCCCTACATCTTCCCTAGAGACCCCCACCATAACATCTGCCACATGTTGAATATTTTCTTTGTTTCTCTAAGAGGACCAAACACCCCTGAACAACAAGTAGGAACAGTGTTGATTTTTTTTGTAGTTGTTATTTGTTTGTTGTTTTGTATTTCCAGCACTGAACATAGTGCCTAGAATATATTAGGCCTCAATAAGTGTCTTCATCCATATGAAAAATGAGTAAAAGATGCTCAGTCTCCACCACGGAAATCTCCACTAAGGAATGAGTTTCAATAAGAGCAAAACAATGTCATTGGGAAGCTCTATTTTCTTTGCTAGCAGAGTGGAGTCCTATCATTTTTACACTCCACTGATTCATTCTGAACATGGTGTCAGGAACAATACAGGGGCAAAAAACAATTAGCAGGGGAACAAAACAATCAGCCAAACCGTCTGGGATTTGAGCGATATATAGATCAAATGTCTTAAATTTGCTAAGCTCTTTCTCATTTGGCCAGAATGGATGACTCTTGGCTTCACTGTACCAAGAATAATTGTCCCTCATATATCCCCAATCAGCTGCCCTTTAATGACTAGTCAGAAGTGACAACGTAAAAGGAGCAGTGACTTTCATTGTACTTGGCAAATTTTGGACGAACTCCCATTAATTTGCCCTTGGCATAGGTGAGCTCATAGACACACCTTACATGGCCACTAATGTCGCTGCTCCTCCCTGCCTCCAACAACCACAAGTCCTCCGATTAGCAGAGATACAAGAGCAAGAAGTGAGATGTCTGAGGTGACCTTTGCTTCTCACACCACTTCCATAGATGGTGGAATACCCACAATACCTAAGCTCACATCAAAAGTCTCATACATTCAGAGGTCAAATGACCTTTCTATCTTCCCAAACCAGTACCAGGGTATGCTACCCTACAAAGATATTTGGAAAGAGTCCAGGCACTTGACAGACTTATGAGGCCCATATGGCCTATTTCTATTCCAGATGGCTGCCTCTCATCTCAGCTCATGTTCTGGTTGTTGCTGCTTTGACAATGCAGTGATTTAAATTCCATAAACTATAAGAAAGTTCTAGGCTTCCATTTCATCCTAATGTCTTGTATCTGTTTTTGGTCTAATTATATTTAAAAAAAAAATAAAGTTTGCCATCTCTTGAAATACATGTTAATTAGTAACACAGTTGACCTCATAGAAACCATTCCTTGGAAACACCAATCAGGATCATCCCGACTACTAGACTTCTGATACATGGACAATTTCTGGTCACTGGTGGTCTTTAGAAGGAAGATCCTATAGGTCCTCAAAGAATTCTTCTCTCATCTTAATCTTCATGTCCTCCTGCTTGTCCACCAACACAGCCTAAGATGATGCCTTGAATTATTGTCTTACTGCTTCTTGTGTAGATATCTCAGCTACATGCAAAAGCTCATTGAAGGTAGGAGCTATGTCTGTTGTAGATGCCATATCCTTAAAGATCTAGAGCTATGTTTTCAGCAAATATTTGGTAACTATGTAAAGTATACTTTCATATAATATAGAAGCTGACAGCCCATGGATAGCCAACTTGATTTTGTGTTTGGGGGCATATAAAAATAAGAGACCAAGCTACAATCTGAATGTGGTCTATAAACTGAACCTCCTTGGCTAGATGTCATTCCTTTGCTAACCTTTATCTCTGCTTCTTGCCCAAACTGTATTCACTGCATATGGAAGATACTTAAGTGTAAGTAGAAGGGACTCTCTGTAGTATTCTGGCCTGTTCTAAAGGGTTGGCTCTACCTGTTTAGCTATCTCTCTGGGTCCCCTTTTCATTATGGATTTTGTTTACAAAGGAACAAAGCCTGGAGTCCCTGTGGACTTTGTTCAGTTCTTCAATACCACCACGTCTCTTATATCTGTCCTGTTTAGATCACACTCCTTCCTGCCACTTCTCTGCCAAGGCATATATATCCCCAATCAGCTGCCCTTTAATGACTAGTCAGAAGTGACAATGTAAAAGGAGCAGTGACTTTCATTGTACTTGGCAAATTTTGGATGAACTCCCATTAATTTGCCCTTGGCATAGGTGAGTTCATAGACACACCTTACATGGCCACTAATGTCGCTATTCATATTTCACCTCTTAACTTAGGTATTTTTTCTCTTTGAACAAGTTTTATCTGGATCGCTACAGTACATTGAGTGTTCTTACAAGGGTCTCCAGAACTTTTCTGTACTTTCCTTCAATGAAGTTGACAATAATAACAAAGCTGATATAATAACTACAATCATCAAAGAGTCACTAGTGGTTGTTAAATGCTTACCATATTTTAGGAACCTATTAAATCAGATCATCATTGATATCTGGTGAGGTGGTGCCTAACTACCACCATTTTACAAATGAGACAATCAAGTCTCAGAGATACTTATTTCCTTCATGAGGTTCACATGACTCCATAAAGGTCACACTTCTCATCTAGTCTGGCCCCAAAGTTGTGTGTTTGCTACCCATCCATCACACCACCTCTTATGAAACCCACCATGTTTATCATTGGTTATTTAATTCCACTAGGCAGCAAGCTCTGTAAGGATAGGCATATATCCATCTTGTTCGATATTCTGTTTTGAAAGCCTAGCCCAGGAGTTAGCATGTAGAAACTATTCAGGAAACACGCAATAAATGAAACAGCCGGCAGATTGGCTCTCCTGGAATCCCAAAGAAGAAAGATTCATCCTCTCTAAATAGAAGATACCTAATAAAAAAACATATGAGTATAATAATATCTATTTTAAAGTTTTTCTTTCTTCTATCTAACTCTGGCCAAATGATGCTAGGCACTCAGAACTAGAATGGTGTGTTCTGGAAACCAGTGAACCCAAAAATTCTTATTTGGAAGAAGAGTGCAGGTGGAACAAAGGCTTGGGCTGTCCAGGGATACACCTGTAACACCCATTTCCACTTGGACTGGAGCATGCCACCTGCGAAGGCTGACTCACCCCTTTCGCAGGTTCTTCCCCAGTAACCAGTGCCCGTGCAGTCGCAGATGAAGCGGTTCCAGCCGTCCTTGCACACAGCGTTGTTCTTGCAGGGGTAGCTGTCACACTGCTTGGCGCTCATCCGTGAACAGGAGGACTTGACGCCCGCGGCGTTCTGCATCTCCGCCAGCTGCCGGATGTTCTTGCTGCGCCCGTCGATGAACAGGTCGCGGATGCAGCCCACGTAGCCGTAGTTGAGCATGGCGGTCCAGAGCTCCGTGGGGAGGATGAGGCCAGCACGGTTCTCCGGCAGCCCGCCCAGGTACATGTCTCCCTCCAGGTCCAGGATCTCGCTCTCCCCACTGGCGGTGAATGGCGTGCGCCTGCTGTTCACTGATATGGTACCTGGGTAGGAAGACATCCGGAGTGAGTTAAAGGTGCTTTTTTTTTTTTGCATCTCAGGTGAGCACGCTAGGTGATAAGCCAAATGAGAGGAGCCCAATAGGTGGGTTCTCAGACCATCACTGCCTGACCAGGAGAAAGCCACGCAAGCGACGGAACAGCATGCTGCAGGATGGTGTCATTCGGTTCCCATCCCTGCCACCTAAGACAACCAGGCCTCCAGGGAGACCAGAAAAATCCTACCGCCTAACCTCTAGTAGATCTTTTCACTACCTAACTGGCTTGGCTGAAAGGTAGAAGAATCATCATCATCATCATCATCATCATCATCATCATCAATCAAGTGAGGGAAAAAGAGTTCCTGCCTGAGTTAAAACCCCTGCTTTTACCACACATGAGCTGTAGAACCTTGAAGAAGGGACGCCGTCTTCCTGTGCTTCAGTTTTCCCTGTAAATGGGAAAGTGATTTTCCCCACCTCACAGGTTGATGTGATGGTTAACTAAGTTAATCCTTATAGGAAAGCATCTCATAGGCCCTGGAATAGTATAAGGGCTCTGTGTTTGCCTGAATCCTCTTCACCGGCTCCCCATCCCCCAAAGGATGGGACTTCCTCTCTGCCTCCCCCTCCATGCAGTGGTACACTCTAGACTGGCCTCAACTACCACCCTAGCCAGTGAATATTTGGGACATTTCCACTAGTAATTTTTAACTGGAACATGTTTCTTTATTCGTGTTATACAGATATGTTGGGCATCTCTTCTGCGTCTGTATAATTCTAGGCACAGAGATGAGCCTGTCCTTCATAGCCTTTCTCTCTTTGGAGTTGATATTACAGAACACAGACACAAAATAAGTAGTCCAGTACACAAGAGAAAATAACTAATGGCAGGTGCTATGAAGAGAGTAAAATGGGTACAAGGTAGCAGCCCATGTGTTCTAATTTAAGGCCTGCCCAGGTGGGTGACAGCTGAAACTAGTATTGAGAAAATCCAGGGGTAGAGATCATGGAAGGCAGATAGAATGACACACACAAAGGGCCTGAGGCAGGAAGGAGTGCGACAGGAGAGGAGGAGGTAAGAGGGAGGGAGCAGGAGTTGAGGCCAGGGACAAAGGAAGACCCAGGCAAGGGCTGGATTATAGCCACCATCAAATGAGATTTTAGAAGGTATAACTTAGTGCCTGACCTGGGAATTTGGGAACAAGGATGTTAGTCCTAAATGGTTTTCTGACCCTAAGATAGTCATTGAACCCTTTACCTCTTAATTTCCTGAACTGTAAAATCAAGAAAATGTACTAGGTGATATCTAAAAATGCTACCAGCAATTTAAAAAAAAATGTATTTGTTATTCTTGAAGTGCTTTGTTGGTACCAAGATACCTGGGTTGTAGGATCCATCAGTCAGCCTTCACTGACATCAGTCTCCTCTGAGTCTCAATTCCCTCAGCTAAGAAGGGTATATCCTGAAGGCTCAGAAGATCAAATGAGATCAAGAACGTGAAATGTGCTCGAAATTACAAAGTCAACACCACAGTAGAATGGAAAGGACACTGAGGGGCCTCGTGGGCAGGGGTAAGCTGACAATCTGTTCCCCACCTTTATCCTAGAGGTGTTCTGCTGTGCTTTGACTTTATAATGTCCTGGTTATCACTTTAAGTATTTTGTGTGCTTTTTGTTTTTATTTTTTTTTTATTCATTTATTTGAGGGGACCAAACCCAGGTCCTGGCACAGGCTAAAGCAAGTGCTATGCTCTACCACTGAGCTACACCCTCAGCCCATTTATGTACATTTTTTTTTTGTACTTGACCCTGAAAACAATATCGTGAACTAGGATATATTATTTTCTCTATGTTACAAATAAGGAAGTTGAAGTTTGTATCTCTTACTACATTCTCTTGCACAGTTTCCTTTTTTTATCTTCCACATGCCTATAAATATAATCTGATCACCAGCAAAAAGGGAGGAACATCTATTGCCAAATAAGTACTAGAATCCATTTAAAATTTTATGCCTTAAGTACATGCTGGGGAAAATCTGTCCCCTGAGTATGCTGCCAGAACTCTTTTGAATGTTCTTGTCAGTTTTTAAGACTCACTTCCCCAATGGAGACTATAAGATATCATATATATATATATATATATATATATATATATATATACATACATACATATATGTGTACATAAATATATGAATATATGATCATATAAGTTTTTCTAAATTACCTAGTCATATTCTGCAGAATGCTCAGGGAGGTCCATATTGTTTTTGTAAATATTCACTTTCACATAGGTTTGTAACTGAAAAGAGCCTACTAGGAAACATCTTTGTGAAGAAATGACATTTAACAGGCCATATAAAAGTGTTAAGTTACACTGTTTTCTTAGGATGATTATTTGTTTACTTATATATATTACTTATATATATATATATTAATATTATATATATATTACTTATATACATATTCTTTGATCAAATGCATCAGATTCAAACAATCACCCAACAGTGTAAGTTGCCAAGTAAAAAATTCAAGGCTTCTAAAATCCAAATATATTTTTCAAAGATGGGCCCACTGTGATGTTCCTAGCCAAAAAAAAAAAAAAGAAGAAAAAGAAAAAAAATAGCTATCCTATTTGAAACAGCAATTAGTGTTGGAAATGAACAGAAATAAACACATGGCAATTTGATGTGTTCAGGCCTATGTGACACAAGTAGGTAACTTTGAAGCTGTGTCAAGGTTAGTCGCACACAGAACTCATCCATCATGACCCATCTTCACATATGACCTTAACCAATAGCGGTAGGTTTTTAAAAGAATTTTTAAAAATAACTTTGGTAATATGAATTGTAATGCATTCTGATGTCATATATAACAAATTAGAATAAAAAATTTAAATAATAAAATAATAATTTGGAGACAATTTTAGCTGTACCCTGCTCACTTATTATTGATAAACTTGAGAGAGGGATTGATTTAGCTTCCAAAGAAATTATTTTTGTGTGTCTTTTTCTCTTTAAAAAGCACAAACTGTTCATTCTTGCTTAACAAGCACATTTAATTTGAAGCCTCTTGGTTCCGATCAGATTTTAGACAATCGATAGAGGTTCCTACTGGGCAATAAAACATGCAATCTGCCACCCGTCTGCCCTCTGCACAGAGCCCATCCTGTTCCTCCTAAGGGTAATGTTGCTTATCTCTGCCATCCCTTTACCTCTAGAATTGTACAGAAAAGCATCTACCAAAACTCAGCCATTTCTTTCTTCCGTATTTTGGGGACCCTATTACTTCCTCTTGCTCGCCAAGTGTAACCTGGAGAGAAAATATCCAAATGAAGACTTGTTCTTATGTGCACAGGAGGATGAATCCCTACAAATATGGAAAATGTAGCCACACCCCTCAGGAGTATATACTACCTAAATGGGAAATCAGAAAATGAGTCTGAAATTCAAATGCTCTAATTACTGCTCTTTGGTTTTCCAATAGCACAGAATGTGACCTTCATTGCCACAGGGTCCCTAGAAAGCTAGGCAGACTGTTCAGTCATTTGAAAACCCCAGACTCTCTATTAGTGCCCCCCAGCCCCCACTCCCTTTGTTACTGTTCCAGAGTGACAATGTAGTGCCTGGGGCTACCTTGTTTGATCTGCAGCTGCAGAAACAAACAAAACCATTTAAACCAAATGTAAAAGGTTAGGAAGAGGAAGAGAGAGTTAGTGAGGTCTGAGCAAAGGGTAAAATACAAGCTTTCACACCAAAGGAAGGCTTTAAATTGAACATGACTTCAGGAAAAATCAATTTGCCTTTTCCTTTCTTGTCATAATTTCTCCCTGCAATGTGACTCTTGCCAATTATTGCAGGGCGGATCTTTGCATAAACTCTTGCACAGTGAGGCATATCCTACAGAATAATCCCATAATGCAGCATCTGTGATGTCACACTTGGTTCCCATGGTGATGAGAAAAAGAAGGAGAAGAAAAGGGGGAAATACTGTACCAGTGACATGACAGTTGCTTTGGGAGGAGGGGTGATGCTATTTGTAAAACTATCCTTAGTTCCAGGGTCTTAGAGTTGTCCCTGAAAGAGCAAGGGAGATGAGCTGGAGAATGTGCGGCATCCATGAGGAAGGTGTTTTGTTCAAAAACAATGTTACTACAACCATTAAAGAGAAGAGACAAAAAATCAACAACCCTGCAAATGCAAAAATTAAAATTAAAAAAAAATAATAAAGCCAGGAAAAACTGCATTGCTACAGCTGCCCTCTATCCTCAGTCACACACCCTGGCTTTTCCCTACCTGATCTGCCATCGCGCTGAATATCCACATGGTACCATTCCCCGTCATTGGCTTTCTTCTGGGTGGCTTTCACTTTGATGGTGCCTGAGCCCATATCGAGCAGCAAGTACAGGTTGCCATCGAGAAGTTCCACAGCAAAGAAGTCAACTTTTGTGTTCTTTTGGCTCCGAGCATCCTTCCTCTCTTGGGGCTTCCCATGAGTGAAGAGGATCAGGCCATTGGGCTCAGTGGTGCGGAAGTCAAAGGAGATAGAGCCCATTCGTTTGGTGTTCCACTTGGGCAAGCTGATGTAAGCCTCTGGGGTCTCAAAGTTGATGGGGTCCAGTGTGGCCACATTCTCACACTTGAACACAACTTCACCATAGATTTTCATTTTTGTGTCCCCAATCCGTGCCAGACGAGACAGCTCCAGACGGATGTCATTATTCTTATAAACAACCTGTCAAAAGCCAAACAAATATGCCATATGAATCAATCTTACGAGCAGCATCCATCCATCACTCACTGGGCACCCAGAACAAAGATTCAAGAAGAGGCTTCAGGACATAATGGTTTGAAACATGAGACACAGCCCTCAAAACCCATCCAAAGAGATATCTGGGGTGCACCTGTGCTCTGAATAGTCCTCTGCATTCCTATGATGTTTCTTTTGTCTTTCTCCTTCTGGCCAATATCTTGTATTGACAGAAAGTTATACAACATGTGTGTGCAAGTTTTACTTGCACAGGAGATTAAATTGAATGGATATAAACACTTTGTTACAAAGATATTTACTGAATCCTTAGTAAAAAATCAGAAACAACCTAAATGACCATCAATAACACATGGCACGTCTTTATAATGGAATATTATGCAGCCTTTAAAATGAGATATTGCTTCTGGCTTTGATCTGAAGGCCCTCCAAGTCATATCATTAAATGAAATCAGCAAGAAACAGAACAGAATTACATTACCATTGTATAAAAATGGGGAGGGATGGGGAGAGTTATTATACATGTTCATATAAGCATAAAATATCTTTGAAAAGAAGCACAAGGAACTATAAAGTTGTCCCTGGGAATTGGATTGGGAGAGAGACTTACTTTTTGCAGCATCTTCCTGTTTCATGTTTTTAAAATCATTTGCATACATTTCTTTTTAAAAAAAAATCATGAGTTTTTGGAGAAGAGGATCCATGATTTTTGCACATTGAGTGTGTGGTATTATAATGAGATAGCCTGAAACCCTGGTTCAGTCTGTTGGGGACATTCATTTAGTTGAGAGTCAGAAATAACAGAACACTGTACCCATCGTGATTTTTCCTAGAAGGGGGTCCAGCAGGGCTCCCTGCCCCTACATCCTACCCAAGGCACCAGCACAATTCTTCCTGACCATACCTTCCTGACCATTGTCCAGTGTGGGAGACTAAGAAGGGAAGGAGAGGATGCCTGACCCAGTCTCATCCTGTTCCCCAAAATCAGAATTTCAAAAATTTTTACTCTTATTAATATATCGATAATTTACTCTTATTGATATAGCACCCTGGGACAGGTCTCAGTTTTCTGATCTTTGACAGCCAAAAGATAAAAGGACTAAACCATGAATGGGGTTTAGTGTGTAACCCCTTGTTATTTCCTTTCCATTATCGTATTCAAATTCTAAGTCAGGACCCAGATTTAGGTCTAAACCCTGTGCCTACTATTTTCAAGCTAGACATCTTTGGCAAAATGACTTCTATAGGTCAGCTTCCTCCTCTGGGCATGGGACTATAAGGGTAAACTATTTTGTAAGAATGAAATTATTTAATGCACATAAACCATGTAAAAAGAGCACACAGTAAGGGCACAATGGCCTCGGTTCCTTGGGAAGAAGTGTTGGTTATCTTAATCTCATTTCATTCTTTCCACACCTCTGAGGAGCCTGCATTATTGTTTCCATTTTCAGTCTCACAGCAAGGTCTAGGAAGCAAAATAAGTCTCACAATCTATTTCTGTGAGAGAAAAATAATCACATGACTCCCTTCAGTTCATATCGTTTGATCCCTAACACCCAACTAGAACAATTTCCCTTTTCTCTTCCATCACCAGGAAAGAACCAAGCTAAAATGTTTGCCTTTTGCTAGGTATTACAAGATTACAAGAGGGCTATATAACTATGACAAAGCTTTGAAAATGCTTCCCTAATTATGTAAACTTAACAGTGGACTTAACCATCATCAATACCACTGAGAATAACAATGATTCCATCATCTATTGAGCACTTACCATCAGGTGCTGTAGGTAAGATTTATCACCTGCCAGCCCATTAAGTCCTGACAACACCCACTTGGGATACCTATAACCATCCCCTCATTTTACAGATGCAAAAGTAGACACAGGGAGTAGTTGATGAACTAGTCCCTATGCACAGAGTAGGACCAGACCCAGGTAGTTGGCTCCAGAAGCCACACTTGGAATGAGGCCTCCTCGGAAATGCTTATGAAGCTCATTGTCATCTTTGTGGAATGTCAGGCATATCCAGCTTTCTTGTTCTAGCTCCATGGGATTGGCCGTGCACAAAGGGAAACTGCAGATGCTCAAGTGAGTGAACCAGAAAGGAAATAGTTTCAGGACTTCTTCCTAAGCCCCATTATTATGCTTCAGCATGTGAGAGCTCTCTGTCGTAGCCGACTTTGGCCTTTTCTGCATTTGGGTGAAATGCCTATGAGTAGCACTCCTTGTAGAGGTTAATTATTAATGGATGATAATAATTCATTCCAAAGGGACAGACAGAGGTTTGGCTCCATTGAACAGTAAATGGAAAGAGCACTCAGGCATCCCTACAAGGAGGCTGAGGACAGGAGGAAAGAAAAAGGCCTTTAAAAAGGATCTGAAAAGCAACGCCTCTGTGAGAAGGACACATAGGTAAGGCTGGGACAGAAGGTGAATAAGCAGAATGCAGACCTCTGGAGAGATGCACAGGAGAATCAAGGGCCAGGAACTGGCCAGGCAGAGATAACCTGACTTCTCTCAGAGCCTTTTGGAAGGAGAGCTCCTCTACCCAATAGCCCTGAAATGACTTGGCTGTTACACGGAGTCTACACTGTGGTTAAAAACAAACAAGCAAAACCCCAACACCTTTCTCACTGACAGGTGTGTAATCTTTCTAAATCTCATTTTATTCATTTCCAAAAGAGGGATCCTCGATGACATGCTACAAATTGTCCCCTTGGTCCTCCTAGGGCTGTTGTCAAGATCAAATGGGAAGTCATATGTGGCAGAACATTGAAGATCTAAACTGGCACCCAGACCTGAAAAAAATCAAAGCAAGTCTTCATCTTCCTCCGTGTTAAGACTCTGTTGGAAACTGATGGGACCCTGAAATGATGCTCTGTGGAGGATCTTCCACCAAGGAAGGCAAAGCTCTTGCAGCCCAGCAACGCTCAGCTGGAAGCTCCAGGGCTAGCATCCTCACCTTCCCCATCCATCCAGCTGTGGCCATGCAGAAGCCTACTGGCACCCTGGGCTGGTGAGCAGGACATGGAAGCAGGAAGCCCTGCCAGACCTCCCACAGTGAATCAGAGTGTCTGAAGCACTGTTCTCTGTAAAATCAGGCTCTCAATTAAATGAATGTCTCCAACCAACAGAATGAACCAGGAAGAGATGTGGCATCAAGTGACAGAAAGCAACCTTGGTTGACAAGTTTCCCTGACAAGAAGCGATTAAAGATAAAGTGGACATGGCTTCCCAAGAGGGCAGGTGTCACAGAGCCTTGGAGGAAGAGAAGTAGAGTCACAAAGAGTGACAAGCTGGTCTTACTACTGCACCCGTGGGTTTGGAAAGACTGCTGTTTGGACTTGTAACTCATGCTCAGGAGACCAGAGAGAAAAACACTGAAGACAGAGTCTCAAGACAAAGTCTCTCTGAATGAATATACTTATATTTCACCACAATCCTTGATACTGAGACATACAGGAGCAATACCAGGAGTAGGGCATGCTATGACTACAGGAATATAGTAAAAATAGTTGGCACCTATGTAGAGATAGCTACTATGTGTCAGACTCTTTAAAAACACTGTTGCGTATCATTCATATTAAGTAAGTAAAATAGGTGATATGTTATAGACATGAGGCTCAGAGGGGATAGCTTCTTGTCCAAGATCACATAGCCCACTAAAGGGCATGAGCCCCTATCTGTCTCACTGCACTGGGGCAAGAACATTCTCCAGGGATGGCGGTTTCTAGGCCCTTCAGCAGCCTATTCCTACACATAAAGCTGAAACCCCTTAGTCATATACAAAAATCTCACAAACTCCTTCTTGACATGCAAATCCCTTCACACCTGGCAAGATCTCTCTCTGTGGAATTCTTCAATCTGCCCATTCATTGATCACTGTGGAGTCCTCTGTAGGAGCACAGGTGTTAGGCATTCTGCATCTCTGCTAACCAGGATTCCCAGGCTACAGTCCCTTCATCTCTTCTTCAACTTGTTCAAATGGTGCCTGTTGCCTAGGATGGACACCTGAACCTGTTCCAGCTCTCCCATTGCCCTAGCTACTCTGGTACTTTCTGATCCTCACTACTTGATAAATCAGAATTCTTTTCGATCTTTAAACAATGCCTGCGATTCATCAAGCTGTCTTCTCTATTGCCCAAGTCACTTGCCTTGACTGGAAGAAGAGACTCTTCTAGCCCTATGTGATGCACTAATTACAAAGAACTCTTCCATGACAATAGAGTTATAAGACAAGCCCATGAAAATGCCTCTAAGGGTTAGAGACAGTTCCTGCACCCAGAAGGGTTTTCTTCTCTCCTCCTTGCCTCTTATCCCAGGCAATTTCTCAATTTCCTAAGAATATGCTTTCAAGTGTTCTGTTATAAGGTTACACCTGTCTACACTCCTGCAAGGGAACTGGAAGGAGAGAGGAATGTGGGGATGTTCCTGCAGCACCCACAGGGCCTCTTGGCCCTATTTTACTATTGAGGAATAGGAAGGTAACCACCTGGCACTTCTTTTCTATTGTTTTTAAAGCATCTTTAATTTTCTGTGGGTCTACATATAGGACAAATAAAACTACCAGGTCAGTTTGGAAGACCAGATCATTTATAGGAGTATGATTTCACCACTGAGTACCATCCTGCTGGTACAAATCAATGAAGAATGTTTGAAAGGAAGGATCTTGGGGGACATTCCCTGCAGCATCTAGATATACAGAATGGAGATGCCAGTGTCAGCCTACCTTGAATGCAGTAGGGTTGCCTGCAAATCCCAATGAAGCTTTTCAACTTCACACTAAATGCAAAGCCATTTACTCCCAATAAGCAAAAGACAAAGATAAATCTATCTCCCACCCGATTTAACCTTTGACAACAGATGATAATGAAAAGAGCTTTTTCTCTTCAGAGTACATGATGGTAAGACTTTTAGATAGAACTTTTGGGCTAATCTCATTGTGTAACATTTCTAATCGGGGTTAAAA